CACCGTCGACTGTAAGGTGCATCTCCAACACACCGGTGCACGGGTTAAAGTGAACACATACCCCGTTGTAGACCGGCGCTTATCCAAATCCCCGGCATAATCCGAATCCACATAGCCAATGCATAGCTGCCCACCTTTAGTGTCCCGCTCATAAACCAAACCAACATTGAGCGTACCTCGAATGTACCTCAAAATCCATCTCACGGCGTCCCAATGACCCACTCCTGGATCGTGCATGTATCTCGATACCATGCTCACCGCCTGTGACAAATCTGGTCTCGTACCCATTGCGTACATCAAGCTCCCAACCGCGCTCGCATATGGAGTCTTCGATATCAACTCTCGATCTTCAACTGACTTCGGTGAAAGACCAGCTGAAAGCTTCAAATGGGCTCCCAATGGTACACTAACTGGCTTCGTATCCATGCTAACATGGAATCGCTGTAGAACCTTCTTCAAATAAGCCACTTGTGTCAAACAAATCCTGCCCTTCTTCTTGTCTCTGCCGATCTCCATCCCTAAAATGCGCTTCGCCTCACCCAAGTCCTTCATCTCAAACTCATTCGAAAGCTGAACTTTCAACTCATCTATAGCTGACCTAGAACTAGAAGCAACCAACATGTCATCGACATAAAGCAACAAATAAATGTACGCACCTCCTCTCAACTTGCGAAAATACACGCAAGGATCAAACTGGGACATAGAGCAACAAATAAATGTACGCACCTCCTTTCAACTTGCGAAAATATACGCAAGGATCAAACTGGCTCCGAGTGTACGAATGACCAAGCATAAAACCATCGAATCGCCTATACCACTGTCGAGGAGACTGCTTCAAACCGTATAGCGATTTCTTCAGTTTGCAAACTAATTTTTCTTTCCCTGCAGCTCGGAATCCCAATGGCTGAGTCATATATATTTCTTCATCAAGATCACCATGAAGAAATGCCGTTTTCACATCCAACTGATCTAATTCCAAACCATACTGTGCCACCAAAGCTAGCAAAATCCGAATCGAAGAATGCTTCACCACCGGAGAGAAAACCTCATTATAGTCAATACCTTCCTCCTGTGCATAGCCCTTCGCAACCAACCTAGCCTTGAATCTCAACGGAGTGCCTTCAATGCCCTCCTTCTTCGTGTATACCCACTTGCAACCAATTGCTTTCCGCCCCTTTGGAAGCTCAACAAGCTCCCATGTATCGTTCTTATGAAGAGATTCCATCTCCTCCTGCATAGCCACCTGCCACGAATCAGCCTCCGAACTCTGCTCGGCCTCTCTGAATGTAGTAGGCACTAACTCATCGATACTCTCCACCGGAAGTGCATACGCAACTGTGTCGGCATACCGTGCTGGCATCTGTATGTTTCTCCTCTGTCTCCTAGCCGCAATAGAATCCTGAACCTGAGCCGTCGGTTCCTGATCCTGCACATTTGTACTCGTATCCTCCGTGTCATCGTCGTGCTCGCCTGGCGTCACCTCAGTCGGCACCTGCATGGATACTGTACCATCTGGACAATGTGGAGCTGCATCGATCTCCACCACCTGCGATATCTCCTCCGTCGGGTCGCTCTCCACCTGATGAGAGCTGGGAAGCTTCAAGATAGAAGCCTCATCAAATGTGACGTCCCTACTCAGAACAATCTTTTTATCAACTGGATCCCAAAGCTTGTATCCCTTGACACCACGCTTGAATCCTACAAATATGGCCTTCCTAGCTCGAGGTTCCAATTTATCAGTTCTAACATGATAATATGCAGGGCACCCGAATACCTTGAGCTGGTCATAGTCATGTGCTGGCTTTCCCGACCACATCTCCATAGGGGTTTTCCCCTCAATCGCAGATGAAGGCAGCCTATTAATGAGGTGGCTCGCATATGTAAGTGCCTCAGCCCAAAAGATCTTCTCCAAACCACTCTGCGACAATAAGCATCGGATCTTCTCCAGTAAAGACCGATTCAACCTCTCTGCCACCCCATTTTGCTGCGGTGTATGACTAACTGTGAAGTGTCTCTCTATGCCCTCGTCTCGACATAGCTGCTGAAAGGGGTCAGAAGTATACTCACCACCGTTGTCGGATCGCAACGTCTTGATCTTTCTCCCAGTCTGCAGTTCCAATCTCTTCTTCCACTCCACAAACAAATCTAGGACTTCACTCTTCTTCGTCATGGTGTACACCCAACAACGCCTAGAATAGTCATCTACAAAAGTGACGAACCAATGTCTACCACCAAGTGATGCAGTCTTGGTGGGACCCCAAACGTCTGTGTGCACGTAATCCAGGATGCCCCTCGTCTGATGAATGGCAGTCCCGAACTTCACCTTCGTCTTCTTGCCAAGAACACAGTGCTCACAGAACTCAATCTTCCCACTCTTGGCTCCCTTCAATAGCCCCTGCTTGCACAATGTCTGCAGTGACTTTTCACCTGTGTGCCCCAATCTATAGTGCCAAAGTCTGCTCATGTCCGCTTCTGAAATAGCCGAAGCAACCTGGCCAATCTCGGTGCTTCCCTTCAGATAATACAAATTCCGATTGCGGACTCCCCTCATCACCACCAATGATCCCTTAGTAACCTTCGCTACAGCGTTTTCGAAAGTCACCTTGAATCCCTTCGCCTCCAAAGCTCCAACTGAGATAAGATTTTTCTTCAGTTGAGGAACAAATCTCACCTCCTTCAACTCACGGACTACTCCATCGTGCATCCTAATCCGCACGGTACCTATCCCACAAACGCCACAGGATTGATCATTTCCCATGACAACAACGCCCCCGTCGACTTTCTCAAAAGATGCAAACCAGTCTCGCCTAGGGGTCACATGAAAGGTAGCGCCGGAATCAAGCATCCAATCTGATGCATCCACATGGTTCACCTCCGGAGTAATCAGTAGAGAAAAGCACGAATCATCGGAATCATCGCCTTTCGCAATGTTCACCTCATTGGCCTTCGGGCCCTTTTTCTTGCTATTCTCCTTCTCTTTGAGCTTCGGGCAGTCTCTCTTCCAATGTCCCTGCTCCTTGCAGAATGCACATTGGTTCTTTGTTAGTTGGTGACGGCCTCTAGACTTTGACCTCCCTCTGTTACCACCTTTCGGATATGGGCTTCTACCTCTTGTCGACAAGGCCTCTCCTGAAGTACTAGCGCGGGAAGTCTCCTTATCCTTCCTCCTCAAATCGTAGTTCGTCAAAGCGTTAGTCACTTCACTATAGCTGATAGAAGATCTCCCGTTCAACAAAGTGAGCACGAAGGTATCATACTCCTCATCCGGTAAGGAGCCCAACAAAATAATCGCCTTGTACTCATCCGATATCTTCTCATCAACATTCGCCAAGTCCGACAACAACTTCGTATAGTTGTTCACATGAGCCGCAAGCGAGGTGCCTCTGGACATCTGGAATCTGAATAACCTACGCAGCAAGTGCAATCGGTTCTCAACACTCTTCGTAAGGTACTTATTGTTGAGAATTTCCCACATCTTCATCGCAGACGTCACCCCAATCACATCATACTTCAGCTCCTGTTCTAAACAGGACCTGATCACCCCACAAGCATTCCTATTCATTTTCTCCCATACCGCCTCTTCATATTTAGGTGGCCTCTCGTGGACCATGATGGTCTCTTCCAAATTCTGAGCATTTAACGCATCCTGTACGTCGCTCATCCACAAACCAAAGTTGATTTTTCCGTCATATTTCACCACACTAATTTTGGTGTTCTGAAAACCAACTTGTATTGTACCCGCCATCGATTTGCTGCTTTCACTTTCTTCTCCCATTGCGAACTAACTCCAAATTGTAGAGAAAAAACAAATTTGATAGAATTAGGAACCACCCAACTGAACCCTAGATCGGATTCCAAATAGATCTCCTATCCACACGAGGAAAGCGAAATCTCCCACGGCAACTCCTAATGTTATCTCCACCGAAGCCGAGAACTCCAAGAACCAAGCTTCACACAAAAAATCTTCCTCCACCAAACTCCAAAACCCTAGATCTGAAATCTGGGCTCTGATACCACTTGTTGCGCGCAGCGGAAATTTCGGCAGCACTTCGACAGCACAACAAGAGAGTCAGGTCGCAATAAGAATTCCCGTCTCACCAAGGAGACAAGAATCTGAAGCGGATATCTCAACCAAGTGAGATATCGGCTCTTCCTCTCATCAGTTCTAGGACTGACCTGTCGAGGGATTCTAAAAGCTATTACAAATCACACAAAAACAGTACAACCAACATTTTTATGTGGTTCGGCAAATTGCCTACGTCCACGGGGCAAGAAGGGGGGAGATCTACTAATAGAGGGAGAGGATACAAATAGGGTTTACACAAGAATCTCACAAATAAAACCCTCACACAAACTCTCAAATCCCTCACAAAGTCTCTCAAAAAGCCGCCAATACAACCTTCTCCTGCTGCACAGCGCCCTGTTCAGCCGCCAAATATTAAACCTCCTGCAGCCGAAGAAATCCCAAGCCGACAAAACAAACCCTGCACTTGCACAATTCCCAAAACCCTAGAGACGGGTTTTTATATGCTTGTTTATCGGGTGGGCCTGTTCACACGGCTTCTCCTTTGTTCACGCGGAAACAAAACCGCGGACGTGCATCTGAAAGACAACAAGGCTCACGTGGGCGTGGTCCCCACTCCCCACTCACAGGAAGAATACAAATGGATATGTGACATATGTCATAGAATTTGTATTTGGTTTAATATAATATGAACAAAATAATACCTAGGCATATAGCCATGGCTGAAATCTCAAACATGGAGACCAATGTATATTAATGTTGGTGTAGATTCATTACTTAATATAGGATTTGAAATATCTACCTCGCTTAATGCTTATTTCCCAAAGAATCAATTGCTTCACCCTAAGGTCTTCAGTCTCTCGTCCTTTCTTCTCTCTTTGATTTTCTTTTCTCTTTTTTTTTCTTTTATGTGGCGGAACAGGGACAGGAAAAGAAGAGGAGGCTGACGGGAATCAAAGGAATAGGGTTTTGGATATTTATAAAGGCTCTTTTTACTAATAGAACCCTCAAACAAAATTTGCATAAAAGTCCTCTTACACACTTATATTTATAAATTAATATTATTAACTCAATTGTTTGGATATCTATTTAAACAAATAATAACTTAGACTTATCATCACTTAGAAAAATTAGGGATATTACACTGATAGCACATGCTGGGGAGAAATCAAGCTCAAACAAGAGTTGATAGGCCTTAAGTAGAGGCTCGGAATCAAACCAACCCAAATCAAGCCAACATCTTATAGTAAATATCAGCCATGCACTGAGTGCAGCAGTAGTAACCCAATGTTTTGTTTCATCTCCCCTGAGGGATTTGTGTACCCATCTTCATGCTTGTATATGACTTCGGCCATACGAACAAAATTAAGTGCTAACATGTTGAGATTCCTTTGAGAAGGACATGAATACTGAAGACACCCCTGATTCAAATCTTTCCAGGCATTTGCAACCATTGTACTAAGTTTGAGACGTGCCACTTGCTCGGTTACTCCATGATCGTTCATGTAGCACTGCACGCTTGAAGCCACATGCTTCCTCTCTTGTTCCATCTATAACAATCAATAACAGTAGTATGTTATTATATAGGGATGTTCTTTGCGAATATATATAGCCTCATTACTATTTTTGCGTGATTGAGGATAGCCCCCTGTAATTCTATTGTTACAGATAGACCTACGGTGAGTGAAAAGTTATTGACTCTTTTACCCTCAATGATTTTTTTTTTCTTTATAGCCCTCCTTAGTTTAAAAGAGTTAAAAAATTTCACTAAGAGGGTCTATTTGCCGCAATAGAACTACAGAGGGTCTATCGACACTTAGGTGATACTATAAAGGATCTATTCACAATTATTATGCAAATTTACGTAGGATGTATTTCATTCTGTGAAGTTGAAGCTCCAAGCATAGTTTAATCTACATTATGTTGCTAGGCTCGATTGTTTCTCTTCTATTATGAATCAAATATCAAGAGCATGAATTGATCTTATTTTTCTTCTTTTTCCAATCTATTAATTCTAATTCTTCATACCTTAGTTGACACAAGGTCATCCCTTAGCCTTGAAATTAGAGCTGAGGCCTCAACAGCCTTAGGGACACTGAGCACCAAATCTAGAACAGCTGCAGTCACCTCTTGTTCCATAACAATGAGAGCAACACAAATTAGCATAGGATAACCGCTGCTCATAACTGAAATATTCAAGTATTCTTCCAATGTTGGCATGTATCCTTTGTTTGCCCATTTGGCTTCCTTAAAATATGCTCCAACCAGTGCTTTAATCTATTAGTTTGTATCACAAGTGCAAGAGTTAGCAGAGAGATGATAGTTCGAGAAACCGTTACTGAGCAATAGCATGCGATTAGATTTTAAATTAAAATAACAACGCGAATTTTTGATTTGTTTTTCACATTCAATATAAGAAGCTGATAAACTGAAAATTAATCAAATTAAATAGATCAAAGAATCATACTGATTCGGCCAAGTAATACTTATGGTGAAGCATTCCTTTCCTACAAAGTTCCTCCTCAATTTCTCTGATGAGACTCATGAATGAATGGAGATAGATAATCATATACTCAGGCATCTTACTCACATCTTGAACATCCCACCTGAAGAAGTGAAATTTGGATTAAATTATAATTGATTAACGTTAATAATTACATCTAGATTCAAATTAGTAATTAAGGGAGTATATATATCGAAAACCTTTGGATGGCATCATTGAACTGGTGAAGCTCCTCAAGGGTGCCATATGCATCAAATATGTCATCCATCACCGAGGTCAAGGCTATAATCTTGGTAAGAAGAATTCTACCTTCTGAGAATTGAGGCTCAAAATGCACCCCTAGGATCCAAAAATAGCATTCCACCACTCTATCTCGAGCAAAACTCAGCTTTTTGATGAGACCCAATTCTCTCCACCACCTATATAAATGGAATCAAGAAGAATTTAAACTGCAAATTAAATGAAATAATGTTAAACAAATTTTTTCTAGTTGTTAGAATATAAAACTATAATTAATCCTCATTCCTCAATACAATTTTAGAGTTTGGGTGTGTAATGATAGAACCTTTAAGTCGGTAGCTGCATGGCAATCTAGCTTATGTTCAAACTCCCACTAACCATAAATTTAATATGGATTAAAAAAACTTGATATCTTTACTTAAGTCCAGATTTCAGCTCACATGAAGGGTGCTCAAACTGCGGGAGCATAGTAGGATAAGAATTTTTCTCATCCCTTTTTTATTGAATATCAACTTTAGATCTTTGATCAATTTGTTTGTGATTTCTCATTTATTTACTTTTGTTAACTATGGGGGAAATAAATAAGGAAATAGATAACATTTATACTAGAAAATACTAATAAACGTTCAATTTAAATTTGTACGTGGTGAGGAAGAATATATTTAGTATATTCCTTAAAAATATTGTATCACATGTTTTACTTCCTAGTGCTATAAATAATATATATAAGATCAACAGCATTCTAATTGTTTCTCTGATTTTATCAACAATATGCTTTATTAATTTTAATGATATGTTAAATCTTTTTTCCAAAATTATAATCATTCTTTTAATTCGGGCTTGGCTAAGGGGCACCCTCTAACACACAGCCTCGGGTATATGAGGAAATTATGTTCCTGTGGATGCTCCTCCGAAAAGTTGAACCTGAGACCTTGGAGTACTACACATAGAGAGCTTATTAACTTGGGACCCTCTTGAGTAGTGCTTGTCATCTCTTACATTCATTTACTATCTATCTATCTATTTATATATCTTTCTATCTATTGAGTCCATGCGAAAAAAAGATGAAGGAAAACAAGATACGTACGTTGAAATAGCTTTGATCTCAGTCTGATGCATTGACTGCAAAAGGTTGAAATCAAGCTTAGCGAGCTCGAAGAAAACATGACGCCTTTCTTTTTCGTCCTTGTGCATGGTAAAGTAGTGTCTCGCCTCTAATCGCCTCATGCATCGATGGTACGGCATCTCGAGTGCTCGTTCTATCTGAGCTGCAAGAACACCATCCTTATCGTGCACCAACAGGCGCTCCATGTGAACCTTGGCAAAATCCATGGCTTCGTCCAATATCTCATCTTCTCGTGTCCCCAGCCAGCTAGCTTCATACAGAAACAGCAAGCCCTTGGCATCACGACTTAGCTCCTCCTTGAATTTCCCACCTTTATCTTTCAACTTTTTAAACACATCTGCGTTTAAAAAAAAACCAACATACACATATATTCTGGATGTTATAAAAATCGCCAACTCTATAATAAGGTTATTAATTTGGAGAAAACAAAACTTTTAGTTGTTGTTTGTGGATGCTGATGCACACGTATAATACATATCGCCAGAGACTCAGAATTGGCATGCCTACAAAATTGCACCCAGACTACAGGCAGAGACCCCAAATTGTACCGAGAATTGTTTATATATATATATATATATATATAATTTTTTAATATATACTATATATATATATATATATATATAAGTATATATAAATATATATATGGAGAGATACGCAATTCTGTGAATGGAGAAGCGCAATACATTATTATATATATATATATATATATATACTATATATAGTATATAAATATATATATAGATACTACTATATATATATAATATAGGGAGAGGTTTCTAATAAAAACACTCTTATGCCTAAAACTAAAATAAAGCCCTTCCTGTGCATCACATTGTGATCTAGAATCGAATCCATATGGCTGGGATTCATTCAGTCAAAACAGTGCAACAGACACATCAATTAATGTAGCCTATTAATTACCGTCAACGGCAGTGAATCGGCAGAT